AAAGGCAGCACGGGCCTCAAAGGCCTTCTAAGGGAAATGGGAGGAGGTAGTTACCAGGGCCATGGAGAGTTTTTTTTTCTGCGAAGGGTATCGACCCAAAGGGCCGCACCAACCCTGGATGTAATAGGAATAAGCCGGGGTTACTTCTAGGTACTCACAAAGGCAACAGCGACCACCCAGTGGCTACTTCTAAGTGCTCATAAAGAATTAACGAGGAAGGCTTTTGACTTTCAATTTTGGCTTTTAAGCGGTGAAAAAGTGGATAACTGACGTAAATATAAACAAAAAGTGATTAATTCACTCATAATTTAAAGAACGCTGATGGACACAGAACTGAGGCTCCCTAATTCAAAAGTAGCACCATCGCATCACCCTCCTACCTCCTCCCCAGCATGCCCCATCACTTTATTCCGTTTTTTTTTTCTATTTATTTACCTTTTAAGCGCATCAAATCAAAGGATTTGTGTCCCATGCGGCCACTAAAGTATAACTAAATTTGCGCATTTATATAAGTATTCCTGATTTTTCTATGCCTCTTCAGATTCATATAAAAATAATTTCTATTTCTGTTGGGGGCTGCTTGCACATTCATTTAAGTTTCATTCTCATAATTTTTTTTTTTATTTTATTGTTCTTACATAAATTTTGTCCTTTTTTACACCTTTTTTCCTATTTCTGCATTTTCAATTCAATACATTAAAAAAATTTAATTCCATTGTTCCATTTCTGCCAAAACGCAATGGCGGAAAGGCAAGCACGCACGGATGCGAAACGTGATCACTGACAAAAACTGAAGAATGAGGAGACTGGCTGTGACGGAGAAAGCGATGGATGTCTGAATTACCTCTTCGCGACCATATAAATAATCAGACTCTCGCGCGACATATTATCACGATCACGCGAGAAAATAAAATCAAACAGAAGCTCATGCTGCTCAACCTTACCGGCAGTCAGTGGATGCTATGCATTAGAGTTTGATTGTTTACACGAAAAAGTGAACGACAGCTCAGGTGGCCCCTAAGGAGGTAGTGCACAGACATCAAAGAGGTGGTGGGTGCTACGAGGTATGTAGCCAAAAGAAAAGGACCTGGCATAATTGCGCATGGCCTGTGAAAGCACCCCAGTAATAGTAACATTGAAATAGGATCACCAGATCGACCACCCGAGAAGTCCCGGTCCTTTTGAAAAGTTTCAGAAGTTTAAGTTTTTATAACTTCCCGCTGTTTTTTTTTTTTTGAGAGAGCAATAA